ACTACTACTAGTTTAATACTGCCACGGCTCCTACTCCTACTCCTACTCCTACTCCTACTCCTACTCCTACTCCTACTCCTACTCCTACTCCTACTCCTACTCCTACTCCTACTCCTACTCCTACTCCTAGTACTACTACTACTACTACTACTACTACTACTACTGCTACTGCTACGACTGCTCCCACTACTACTACTACTACTACTACTACCACCACCACCACTACTACTACCACCACCAGCACTACTACTAGCACTACTACTACTACTACTACTACTACTACCACTACTACTACTACGACCACTGCTACTGCCACTACCACTACTACTACTACTAGTACTACTACTACTACTACTACTACTACTACTACTACTAACACCAAGGCTACTGCTACTGTTACTGCTTACTGCTATTGCTACTGCTACTGCCGCGGGCACGGCCACAGCTGCGGCTGCGGCTACGGCTACTGCTGCTGCCACTGGTACTGCTACTGCTGCTGCTGCTGCTCCCACTACTATTGCTACTACTACTATTGCTGGGAGGACGATGACAACAAGTCAACAACATCGAAACTGGTGCCATGACTCCTCGTAAGATCAAGGTGCTTATTGTGATGTTTGCAACACATGTCGTGATACCGGCCAAGACCAGTGGCAGCGAGCAGTGTTATATTGAAGATTGAACTGGAGATGAATACTAGCATCCCTTCTCAGAATGAGTTGGTCTGACTGCGAATGTCATCGTATCAAGAAAAGTTGAAGTTAAGGTCAAGGAACGTAACACTGAACCCTCGAGACAGCAACGAGGCTAGATGGCGCGCTAGTCGTGGACCTTGCGGACGGAGGCCTTCCAAAAGCATACGAGTCTCAAGCAGGGTGTCTGTGCAATCGTCCTGCTCTCCAGGTGCTGCCATACCAGCGGGTGTTCAGATCGGCTGGAGAGTACTGGAGGCCCTTGCAACCCATGCTGAATTCCTACCCGACCTTGTTCTTCACACACATACCGGCAGGTAGATGGCAAGCTTGTGCCAGAAGATGACATTGGCAAAGCTGCGGAGGATCTCTTGGGTCTGTCGATGCTTTTCCGTATTTGCACAACCCCTGCCGCTTTCTGCTGTGCACAGGCTGTTCGAAAAGCCGAAGAGAAGATGGCAAACAAAAGTGGTAAGGCCTGCGCCCGGTAGTATCACGAAGTTGCTGAACATTTTTCATGTCTTGGATTGGCTGGCGGTTGGCTGGGTTTCTTGATTGCTTTGCAGGCATCCGTCCTTGTGAGCTTCATCGCAGAGGACGCGCTTATGATGTTCTTGTCCCGGATACTGTTCATGTAATATTTCAGATTTTAGAGGTTGACCGACGTAAGGAGATACCTTAGGCTGGAGCCCTGCCCGCAGATAACATCTGCCCGAGTCGGAAAGAGCACCAAATCCGCAATTGGACAAGCACATGAACACTTGTATTTCCAAGATGAAGCCCGACAGATCCGTACAATGAGCGCGCGAGGCAATGTATCGAGATAGGGACCGAACCCCTGTATGCAGTGCAAAGGCTCATGGCAACTAGAGAGTCAGACGAAGCTTGCGCCTGCCCGTGGAGCAGATGTGAGGAGCCAGACCACTGGAAGCAGGCTTCGAGGGCGCTAGCGGGCAAAGGCTGGCATGGGGGAAGCTGTCAGCAATGTACAGCTTTGTGGACCCGTAATAGACCTTTGTGAGCGACGCAACCACGGGAGGACGCTGAGCCTTTGCAAGCCGCATCGCCCAACTCCATGCGTGCAAGAAGGGCAGCCAAAAGCCACGTTGCACCATAATCCACTGGTTGCGCTGCGATTGGCGACGATGCATATCTGCTGCAGGCAACTGACTGTGCGAATAGAGCCGGGAACTGAGTTGGCTGAGCTTTCGTTTTCTTCCTGTGATGAGATTGGGTGTAAGCGTGTTACCTGGCTCTTAAGCCTCCAGGCGACCAGAAGACATGTATGTCCCGCGTGAGCCCGTCGTGCTTCAAGATGCTTAACTCATTCCAGCGTGTTCGCATCGTTGGCCAGGAAGCACCTACTACCCATTGATGAAGCCACTGACTCCACCCTTGACTCACCATGCCGACTCCTGAAGTAGTTGGAGGGTCTGCATTGGCGAGGCCGGTACAGAGACTGCTTACCCGTGCTAGCTGAGGTGCCCATGCCTGATGTTGGGTCAAAGTGAGTCGGGCAGGAACGAACAAAATCAGATTTTTGAGCTTCTAATATTATGGATATTTAATTTCCCTCACTCGACGATATTTTTCACGCGAACCTGTTCGATACCTCGCTATATGATTATTCAAGAAAGTAGGTTCTTATCGAAGAGATTTTAATCTATAAATTTATTTTTTAATAAGAACAGAAAAAATATTATGAGATTATTAATAAGATTTTCGAAAAATAAATAGATTAATATGTCTAGAATAAATTAGATTCAAATTGAATAAAATATGTATATTGACTTATTTCAAAATAATTCGGAATTTTATTGAGAATATAATTTGAAGTTTTGGAGGCGTATAATATATATATATATATAGGATATTGAATAGAAGAAAATATTAATTATTGAGCTTTTGGAATAGGGATAAGAATAAATTTGAGGTAAAATATATAATATAGAATTATAGGGAAGGAATTATTAGGAATTATGATTATATATCTACTCTATAAAGCGCTACGGCTACTCGCGCTCTATGCGGTGTAGCACGCTTCGGGGCGCCTAGGTTTCAAAATCTTGGAGAAATTTACAGACTACGGCGCGCGAGCCGGTTCGGCCTACCCAGGACCCAAAATTTCGGGAAAATTTAGAAGCTCGGGCTGCAGCTTTAAGAGTGCGGGGCCTCTTCGGTGGTCTCGGGCTAGGCCCAGTCTTCCAAATTTTTGGAAAATTTGGAGATCCGGGTAGCTCGACGTCTCGGTCTCGAAATTTGCGGAAAA